ACTAGCAAATTCAATATGTCCAGATATATTCCTGAATAAAGGAAATGTCCTACACCTATGGCAGTATTTGTATCAACCACCAAAATGGACAGGTACAGATGAGCTGCTCATGTGCTGAACCATGACCATCTGGAGGAGTGTGAGTTGGCCCAGGCTAAAAGCTTACCAGGGCTGTTTACTGGCAGTCAGTTCAACTCAGCCAGTGTGGAGCATGTACAGGTAGGTGCACAGGGTCTGCTCTTGCATCCAATTCTACATCCCTCATGCTCTCCAAAATATTCAGCTCACTCACCAAATGAGGCACAGCTCACTGTGGCCGTGTAGCAGCTTCTTCCTCTGCTTGCCCAATGCTCTCCAATTCTACTGCACTGAACCACAACAGAGGCCACTAGACAGAAGGAATCTGTAATTTATGGATTTTTGCTGTCAGTGGATTCTCATCTCTAACATCTTCATTGACCATGTAAAATGGAGATGCACAGCTATTTTTCTAATGGTGCAGGGTCAAAAGGCAGCCCAGGGCAATAAACTGAATTATCAGTGAGATTTCTCAGATATCATTTGTTGCTCCTTTCCTCTATACCTGGATTCAGGCATACTTATTTTTTTTCAAGAGTTTTATTTTTTTTTTTTGTCTGAAGAGTACAATAGATGAGTCAGACAACATTATATCCACCATTGTAGGACATACAGAATTACAGTTGAGTAAATCCCTACAGGTGAGCAGCAAATTGAGCTCTGGTACTCTGAGCTTTGGACCAGTGTTTTGTTCTTGAGTATCCTCGTCAGGCTTAAATTTGTTATTAAGTTTAAAAAAATGCTTCTGACTGGTGTATGGCCAGCTCTTGTAAATGAGGCCTTTTATTCAGCCTGAAGTTACTCTTTTACCACTACTAAAAGTCTGAAGTTTTATTTCTCTACAGTGAGACACCTCAGAGTGAATGTTTTCCTGCTGGTCAGGTAAAGTTCCATCTCGGCTTCCTCCCTCCATCTGGGAGTTTACCTTGTTCTTTCATTCCCTTTGATTCCTCTGCTTATCTTCTTAATTAGTTGTGCTTTAGGTGAATGCAAGCTGAAGATGCTTCCCCTCTGGGAGTGCTATTCTGTCACTGGATCAGGTGCAGATGGCAGAGCTCTTGTTAACTTAATTGATTATTAAAATGCTGACATATGGAAGGAATTGCTTTCTTTCACTTTTCAGCTTGGGGAAATTGTAGTGCTATGTGAATAAACAACTTAGGAAGTTCCTGAAAATAAAGTGTTATCAATTTGTTAGAAGGATGCTTTTGGTCTTATGAGTTCTCACCTCTCTAAAAATTGGAAGTTGGCACTTGTTACTACCATGTGGAATTACATTTCTTATAAGTTATGTATCAAAGAAGTTTGCCTGCAGAATTAAAGAGCTGTCTTCTGTGTAGTTGGATCCTATGAAGAAAACAAACAAAAAAATTATAGGTATAGAAGTAGTAGGGAACACAAGAAAGTTGGAGAGGAGATATTGTAGACAGAACATGTTTATTTTGTCACATATTATATTGTCTGAAGTTTGTCCTTCCTTATTGCTATTGAAACATTCGGATTTTCCTCACTGTGTTTATAGCCAAACTGACTAAAACTGTCATAAAGAGGTTCATTGGAACCTGAATGTGTTGAGATTGTATTCATCCAGCTTTCATTTCTGGATATGTACCTCTTCTCACATTACACATATATGAAGCATTATCATCATTAGGACAGTTCATGGACTATCCCTGTGCACACACCAGGACAAATTGCATGCAGCATCTTTCTCTGATGTCAGCTTGGATCACTTGTGTGTGGAATTTTCTATTATCTTCACAGTTTTTTCATGTTGTCTCTCATACTTAGGAAGAACTTTCTGTAATACTCAAAAAAACCACTGCCTTCTTTAAATTATTAGTGAAAATTTTCCTGTGAGAAATCTAACCTCTCAGAGAACTGATGTTGGGGCTATTATGCTGAGATTTGTCTTGTTTTTTATCACAAATTTAATATTGGAAAACCAGACCATAAATTCTTTGGGGTGGAAAATAAACTCTTTCATCTGTAGGTTTTACAAGACTTGGTGTAGGAGGATCCTGGTCACATGGTATTGCAAGAACTTACAGCTTTTATCTTCTGTGGACAAATGAAAAAGAAAATCTGCTCCCAGCATCTTTCTGTTTTTCCTAGTACCTAATAATTAAACAAAACAGATAAATTTAAATTGAAAATTTCTGTCCATTTTTTACTTTGCTGTATAAGGCAGCATGCCCATGTATGTTTTTGTAGTGATTTTAAACTGAGTTGATACTGGGTGAATGGAAAGGCAACCTAACAGTGCCATTTTTTCCTTATACTTGCTGAAGGCCACAATGAAGACTTCCCAAAGGCTTCTCTAGACCAAACTGAACACTCACAGCTCTCTCAGACTGCTTTAATAATTGAGATGCTCCAGCTCACTGGTCATCTTCATGAAAGTTTGCCATAACTGCTCTCTGGAAAGTTCCTGCTTGAAGGTGAATACATACAGAAAATAAATACTGTTATAATAGGAGTAAATGAGTAGTAGTGTTGACTATTACTCAGGTACTTATAGAGCTGTCATATTCTCTGAGAACCTTAAACCCTGGTGATTTCTCTTTATCTACTCATGGTTGTCAAATGTGAAATTTAAAATTTCAGATATGTGTTTTCCTTCACTAATTCTTCCTGAGAAGAATATAAAGTAGTGAAGAAGACATAAAACAATTTAAAAAATGAATTCTACAAAGCTACTCAGACTGACCAGCTCTCCTGGGCCAATGGACAGGAGCTGTTGGCAGAGGTTCCAATAGAGGCTGGCCAGGGAAATTTAGGCCTGCTGCCATACTCAGAACCCTAACCCATGCAAAGAATTATTAGTTTCATTCTAAAAAATGTTGCTATGAAAGAATTTAGTGAACACATGCCATGATAGCAGAATATTCAAACTGAAAGCACACTTACACAGTGCTGTAGGTGCACTGCAGGTAGGCTCAGGGTATGACAACAGTCCATATCTGTGAAGAATGTATCAGTACATGTGCAAACAGTTGGTTTGCAAACAAAGCTAAAGCAGTTTTGTTTCCTAATGATACAGCAGAATCTGAAATGTAGCATAATTAGATATTTGAGGAATCTTGCTCTCCGTTTAGAGTGGACTCTTTATAATTGATTTTAGTGTGATTAGTGTAAGACATGCTCAGCTGGAACCAATCCTTGTTTTTTTAGCAACGAAAACTGAGTCCCCTCGATGTATTTTAAAATAATTAAGGGTTTTTTGGCACTGAAATTTGAAAATAAATTCAACATATATAATAGATGAATTTTTATGCAGTTTAGTTTAATATTTCTGCAGCTTGAAGATGATTGTATTTTTTGACATATAGGTCTTTTCAGTGTCGTTACAGATTGATCTGTGCATGTTTTGCTATCACTTACAAGAAGTTCTGGTTGTCTATTCTTTCTGGAGAAGAATAATTACATCTGTTTTGAAGAGGGGAGGAAAGGAAGTATCCTACCCAGAATCATGCAGCAAATCAATTATAAGCAGGGAATTGACCAAGCCCATAAATGAGAAGAATGCTCGCACTACATTTTTAATAACAGATTTTTTTTTCAAGTAATGGATTAGATCTGGCACTTATGGATGCTTGGAATAAATCTGTATAAATTGTTCCTGACAGTAAGAGGATATGAGTGTGGCCAAAGGCAAAAAACCCCCAAAACTAAAAACCTTCCAAGGGAAGCAAAGAAGGGTGGGAAAGGCTTCCTCAAGCTGAAAAACTTGTCACATATAGTATGCATGTAGTGAGGAAAGTGGCAAAAATATTTAGTGCTGGATATGATTCACAATGGAGTATATTCATGGTTTTCATAGAAGGCAGATGCACATTAAGCAAAATAGGCATGCATGACAGTGATTAAAAAAATAAAAAATGCTAAGTATTTTGCATATTCTGTGGAAATGCACTGATATCATTGTTCTTGTATCTCACCTCTCTTTCCAGGTTTGCTTAAATGAGTGTCTTGTATGAGATGTATGCATCCATTTATGTGGAAGTTAGTGAATAATTCGATTTACTTGACACATCTAACCTCTTAACAACTTTAGCTTTCCAGCAGTTTAACATGATACCTATGAATTTACTTATTAGACCTTAAATGGCTTTCTCTCTGCTTCAATATATGGAAATAATGTTCTAAATTCACAAAAAAAGCTGTTTTCCTGTTTTCTTCAAGTGTTAACTATGTATTGTTAGAAATTCAAACATGTATTACGTTGTTTCTTTTTGTAATCAGAATGAAACTAAGCGGTGCTGGTGAGTTTCATTTCTGATGACTGGCTAGATTTTAGGAAAAAATAAAAACCATACAATTTAGAACTATTAATATAATGTAGCATTTTATATAATTAATATATAATGAGTAAAATAAGTAAAAAATTGTTGATCTTTCATCTATCATCCGTCTATCTATGCACATAATTGTTTCTTTCCCTTTACTGTTAAAACTCTAGTAACTTTTGAATCAATCTTTTTATTCCTGGGGTCATGTGCTACATTCCTACTCATACAAACTATAAAGTCTGAAAGACAGAGTCTATTTCCCTCTCAGTTTAAAGTAGTATGTATATCTTTACTTCCATGTTCATCACAGGGACACTGATATTTAATTCTTGAGGTAGCTTTTTAAAGAAGCTTATTTATGTATATATCCTCAGATTAAAAGCATTTTCTGAAATCATCAGTTTCTGCGCTACCTTTACCAAGAGAATAGGATTTTCCTGAAAGCCTGGCAACAGGACCAGAAGGCAACACAAAAAAGAGATGGAGGAATGTGAGAATGAAGTACAGAAGGAAGTGCCAGGGGAAAACAGCTGCTAGACAGAGCTTCAAGGGAAACATGAAAAGACTGACAGATGTGCTGCACTTGTCATGATTCAGAAAGCCCTCCATGGACTGAAATACAGCACTCACCTGCTTAATAAGGTCAGACTGCAACTCTGCATGTTTATTTTCTTTTTAATAAGACTCAGGGTACCTGGATCTACCCCTCTGCCACATTAATCCTCTTCTTTTCCATTATGTTTGAACATGTCATATGTGGCCACAATTCTCTGGCTGCAGAGAGCAGAACACAACTTTCCCAGGCATTGTTCAGGGGAAGGCTGTAAGAAAATCAGAGAAACAAATTATAAAAAATTCTTGTCTTCACCTGCTGCACCTGTTGTAATGCACATGTGGAATGTGTTATGGAGATTTGTTTACCAATGTATGATTTCTTAATTGGCCAGTGGTGATGGTGTTTGGATTTCAAAGACCAATCTGGTCTGTCTGTATTGGACTGTCTGTGAGGGCAATGAATTTCTTAATAAGCATAGTATAGTACAGTACAATAAAGAGATTGATCAGCCTTCTGGAATCATGGAGTCAATGGTAATTATTACCTGGCAGGGACCCATGCTAGATATGTTACAGTCTCAGACCATAGTTTCACCTGAAAATGAAAGTAAGGGATGACATTCAACTAATTATTTTGCTTTTCCTTTTTGTTTGTTTTCTTTCTTTCTGGTATGCTAGGGTTTGAATGACAACCTCTGTTATTGGTCTCCATTTTTTTTCATTATATTTTAATAAAATTGTCTCTCTTTGTCCATAACAGAATTGACTTTTACATTACTGTCCTGTTTTCAGCTAGGGTAGAGAAAATTTCTTTTCTGTAGTTGTGACAGTGTTGTATTTTGTGTTTGTATTGAGGATGGTGTTGGTAACACACTGATGTTTTGTTTTTTTGCTAAGTCATGACTAGCAAGTATCCTACTATGTATAAGTATTGAACGCTTATATACTTCTGTGAAATATGAGATGTTTTTATTTTGGAGATGGTTTCTAAACAACAGAATTAAAATGTTGTCATAAGGTTCTCATCAATCTAATCCATTAGTTAAAAAAGAGGTCTGTTTTATACATATAGTGTGAACAGTCTTTTCAGTTATGGCTTGGTCAATTCCCTGCTCATAATTGATTTGCTGCATGATTCTGGGTAGGATATTTCCTTTCCTCTCCTCTTCAAAACATGTAATTCTATCAACATTTTTTTTTTTTTTTTTTTTTTTTAAATCATTTTTATTTTTTTTTTTTTTTTTTTTTTTTTTTTTTTTTTTTTTTTTTGCAAAGCACTTTAGTTCTGTTAAATAGAGAAGTTGCATTTTTATTTAATTTTTCATGTTGGCCTTTTTTTAAAGACAGACTTTAATTCCAAACATGCTCTTCTAAGTATATAAACATTCAAAAACTGACCAACAGATATAGATTATTACAAGTGAAAATATTGGAATAGCTAATCACTGTTCAAAGGAGTTTATAGAACAAGAAACTTAATACAATTTAGGTAGGGAAGTTTCAGTGCATCAGATTCTCACATAATGAAATAAGGAAATGGTGGTGAGGGCAAGAGGAGTAGTTAACTCCTTTTCTGAAAAAAATTTGGGAAAGTTCTTCCTCTTCATTTGGAATACATGGAGCAGCTAAATATTTCCTCTAATTTTGGGCAGACTGTAAAACCATTCTTACTGCAAGTATTTGTTGTCACACTATGACACAAAATAACTCATGCACTTACACTGAGATCAAAAGAGTAAAAGGAAGTAACTTTTATTTCTGACTTCGCAATATATAGAATTCTAAAAGTCACAGTGGATTGGAGGAAGAAATTGTTACTTCTCTAACCATACTGGTCAAACTAACTGTCTTATCAATTCTCTCCTCCCACAAAGAAGAATGCAAAACAATCATTATTTACTTGAACAGTGTGTGAGAACTCCAGTAGAAATATGTAAACATCAGAAGGTATAGAAAACTTTTAAAAGAACTTGAAAACTTTTAAAATAACTGGGCAGCAATTTTCAGTAAAAAACTGAATCTCCAAAGTTTACTTGCTGAGTGATAATGGTATTTATTCCATCTCTGAAAGCTTTCTCACAGTGTAGCTTCATATTCTGAAGCCATTTAGTCCTTTGTGTACCACGTCTTACCATTTTGTCCAGTTCATGTTCTCCCATTTGGGATGGTGCTCCCTCAAAACAGGTAGTCACTTGCCCCAGTGAGACAAATTGACTTCAGCTTGGTGTACAATATACAGAGCCAGATTTGTGCCTTGCATAGTCTCTTCTCATTAGTGGGAAAACAGTTTTTGATAAGGAATTTATGGAAGTACTTTAATACCTCTGTATAAGAGTGCAGATCTGTCTGTTATAAAAAGTTATTTAAAAAAAATTTATTTTCTAAGGAGCTACGTATACTGAAGTTATAAGGATAGGTTTTATATTTAATAATATGCTCATTTAGAAAAAAAAAGTAGCTCAATAAAAGTAACTTACCACAATAGTTCAATATTTGTCATGCATGCAGAGCAGAAAATGTGATAAGGTTCTGGCACAGTGACTTTGTGACACTGATATTTTTTTAACTCAAGAAAAAAATGCTTTGATTTCTCTCAGAAATGAACTCTTTCCTGAGTTTTTAGACATAATATACTGACTTTTGTGCATTTATAAACATATGTTTGAGCTCTTGAGGTATCTTTCAAAGAAGAGGTATACTCAGGGGTAGCTTACAGACAGATTCTCTGGAGAAGGATTGAAATGGATGTGTCAAATTTAGAACAAAGACTACCTTTTTTACACCTTTTGTAAATGCTACCCATATTTATTCCAGGACATAAGATTGTTACAAGCTTGTGGAAATTATAAGTATGTGGCTGCACAATATTATTTCTATGTAAAGTAGTGTCCACACCAGAGTAATATGTACAATGTGTATCTAAACTTTTATAATAGTTTGAAATGAAGGTAGGTTGAATATTAAGATGCAATGGCTTGTTTTCAGACTACCAACCATCAAAACACCAATTTATTTTGGAGAGAATCAATGTCTTACTTGGCCAGCATGTGTGCATACTTGTGTGGGTGTGGGTGCTCAGTTCTGTTTTGATGGCTTATCATTTTCTCTCTGATTAACCCCAGTCAGCTAAGTTCTGTCTTTGCACCTAGATGTCTCTAGACAAAGAATGCAAGATTTTTTTTTTGCTTTTAGTCTTACTGATATAAAGCAAGAAACTTCATGGATTTTACCCTGTATATAGGAAAATCATGCAGTATGTAGCTTTGAAGAGATCACATGTAGCTACAACTCTCCTGGACATCCTGCTGGCTCTAGCAGTTGCTTTGTCATATGTTATGTCTGATTTGCAGTGTGGAGTTGTAGGATTTTTGTAGTCCTTAATTTTTCTTTCAAAGCGTGACTGGGGCAGGGTAGAGAAAAGTGCTAAAGGCAGGTGGCATTTCGGGAAAAGGGAAAGCAATAAAGCAGCAGTGCCCCTGCCAGGTGGGCAGCACAGCTCCTCCAGGGTCCCTTTGCATGGCTGCCTGTCAAACCACAGCTTCTCCAGGCTGCCCCAGGCCTGGGTCACAGAAAAGGAAAAAGGCATCGATTATGTCTTGTGGAGAACATCTCCACACACACAGAACTGCTCCCAGGGCTGTCACAGGGAGTGATTGGCCCATAAGAGGCTCATCCACACAAACATGAAGGAGCCCAAATGTGCAGTGGCAGGGAAAACAACCTCAACAGCCCAGTCAGAAGTAGGAACATTGTGCCCTGGCTCCTTCCAGGAGAGCTTCAGCACTGATTGTGAAACACTTCAAGAGAAGTCAACAAGAGCAGATCTTAGGAGGGCTGCACAGACTGAGTGACATTAGAGGATACAGTGAAGAGCATTTAGGGATTGTTCAAAGATTAGCATGGGTTGTTCAAGGGAAGGAGCCAAAGGTGAAGAAAGAGAGGGATGAAGGTGATTAGGGGAGGATCAGGCAAGGGAAAGTAGAAGGATAAGAGGTTAAAAGGGTCTGGATGTATTTAAACTGGACTTGTTGGTACCTTTGTTTCACAGTGTCCTGCTCCCAGTCTGACCTGTGGCTTCTGCTTTCCTGGGTGGGGGGGTGCATCCATTCCATGTACATCTTGTTATCAGGGGTCGAGGTGTCAGTAACTGCAGTTGGAACAGCTTTCAAAGGGCTGGGGCTTCTGTGACCAGCACCTGGAGTGAGGATATGCATATCTGGTGCAGTTGCTGGTAAATATCAAGCTAGATAGCTCCCAAGTAGATTAAGTAGCTTGGTAGCCATACTTTGAAGTGCTTGTTAGTCTAGGACAGATATGTGTGTGTGTCTGGGGAGAGGCTGACTGCTGGAAGGACAGGTACATGCCAGCTACTGGGGAGACTGTAGCATCTGGGAATTGCTCAAGACACTTATTTGTATGCACCTGTGTTATGTTTGCAGAGTTGACATAATTTTATATAAGTCTATCCTTTTCTTTGTACAGAACATACTAACATATATTAAATTGTGTGTACAGCATATAACTCAGCCATACAGTTCTTTCACAAAATATTTTTTGCTAGACTTGGAGGCCTAAATACTTCTGCCATCACAAGTCTTCCCATTTTCTCTATTGATTCCATTAATTTTTCTCTGTATCTGTTTACATTTCAATATATCTTTTCTGACCATTAGTCTTTCCAGCTGCACTGGTTCCAGCTGAGGTGTCACCAGTGCTTGCACAAGGCACTGAACTTTGAATTGGTCTTTTTATGGAGTCACTAGGTGATGATGTCAAATATAGTACTCTTTTCAACATAATCCCTGCCCCACCCCCCCAGTTCCTAATCAAAAATGCACCATTATATTCGCCAAGAAGATAGCTGGTAAAATATTCTTCCACTAATAAACTGAAAATAGCTGAAATTGTTGCAGATTACAATACAAATTTTAAGAACTTATGTTAGAAAAGTAAAAAAATCAGTTTGAAAATGATAATTCAAGCATGCTACAATTTTTTTTTAATGTTTCTAACAACCAAATAGAAGCATCGTGTTGTACTGCTTGCATTATTTTTCAGTGTCAACAAAGATGAATGAAAACTTGCCTCTACTACCAAAGAAACTTCAGAGTTAAAAAAATAAAGAAAAAGAAGTAGGTTATATGAAGATACTTTTCCTATTTAAAATACCTTAATAAAAATGAAATGTTGTTGCTTTTTTCCCTGCATATATGAAGATTTTGTCTGCTGCACAGCCTGTGGAATATCTTGATTCCCATTA